TAGTGGGGGAGAGGGGTGGGTGGAGGGGGAACGTATTTAAAGCCAATCAGGCATCCACACTCAGGTCAGGTACCAATTTGGTAAAGCCAGTCAGGTGTGTGCACTCAAGTTGGGTACCATACTGATGAGTCCCACGGGAAGTGAGGGGCCACCTGGCTGCTTGGTGAAGGACAGACTGACTCAGGTCAGAGATGAAAATGGAGGGGCAGCTAAGTGGCACAGTGGATAGAGCACTGGCCCTGGAGTCAGGAGGACCTGAGTTCAAATCTGCCCTCAGACACATGATACTTGCTAGCTGTGTGGCCCTGGGCAAGTCACTTAACCCCAATTGCCTCACTAAAAAAAAAAAAATGGAAATGGAGCAGGCCAGTGCTTTCTTGTAATCAGCAGTGGGATCAGACCCATGAGTAGCTGCTGTGCTTCCAGTCTAGGCAAGAGAGACTCCCCCACCCAAGTTTCCAAGAAAACAGACAAAACTCATCTGTGTATGAGCATATACATACGTGTGTACATATGTATGCATACACATATATAAAGACTCTATACACACATATGTATGTGTGTATAAATAAATAATCATGATTAACTTTATTTAATGTTTGTAAAAAGCCTGATTTTTCTCTAAGGTTTTTATTGTTCCATTGGGCCTAAAAGTAGAGAATTATATATCCTATGTATATATCTCCTATTTGAATGTGTGTAAAAGGGGAGACAAAGTGGGCTGGTGGGGTGGCCTTAAAATCCAAGAAGATATGGGTTCAAATATTTCCTCTCACCTATAATTGGTATGTGTGATCATGGGTGGTAGGTGGCTAGGTGGTGCAGTAGATAGAGTGCTGGGTTGAAGTCAGAAAAACTCAAATGAGTTCAAATCTAATCTCAGACACTTGCTACCTGTATGACCCTGGGCAAGTCACTTAACTTTGTTTACCTCAGTTTCCTCATCTCTAAAATGAGCTAGAGAAGGAATCAGCAAAACACTCCAGTCTCTTTGCCAAATGGGGTCACAAAGAGTCAGACACCACTAAAAAGACTAGACAACAAACAAAATCATGGTTGGCGAGTCACTTAAAATCTAATTGCTCCTGGCAATTCCTCTAGGCTCATAAATTAGATAACTCTCCTTCTGCATGGCAGAATCGCAGGTCTGGACACCCTTCCTCCCCCTGCCAAAAAAGGAGGGAGAACTTCATTGGCTCTTAGTTTCCCTTATTCAGTATTCCTGCTGACTCTGTCCTATGTTCATGAGTCCATTTCTCATTGCAGCTTATGACCATTTCCTCTCTTTGGGGAAGAAAATAGTGTGTCTAGTTGTTCATATGACCATTTGTCAAAGTGCCTGCTAACAATGTTTATTGGTGATGACAAATGCTGGGAACTGTACAAAGCAGGGAGAAAATGCATAGATGCTGCCCTCCAGGAGATTTTTATTTGGATCTTTGTATCTCGGTACCTAACACAGCACCTGACATAATTGGATGCTTAATAAATGTCTCTTATTAGTTGATTGACTTCTTCTTTAGGCTTTGGGTGCCCTTCCCTCCTGGTTCTGTTTTTTAAGTGTTCATCCATCTGCTTTCTTGGATTTTTCTTCTCTGTTTAGGGACAGGGTAAGGAATGTAGATTGCAGCCCAACCTAAAGGATTCTAAGAGTATCTGATTTTATAGTGTGTGCAACAAATAGTATGTAAAGATGAGTAGTAGGAGAAGCCCTGTATTGGGGGTCAGGGGAATCACAGTTAGAATCCAGGCTCTGATGCTTACCCCCCATGTGGCACTTGCTACCTGTGTGGTACTTCATCTTTCTGGGTTTCAGTCTCCTCATCTGTAAAAGGAAGGAATTAAACTAGGTCATCCCTCCTGCCCTTTCTAGCTTTCAATTCTTTGATCCTGCCTTGTTGGCGTTCAGTATATTTGTTAAAAACAAGCATGGGTGTGATGGTAAATTTTTAAGAACTGGCTCTCTGGGTTGGGAGGAGAGAGGGAAAAGTACATGCTACTCATTTTTTTTTTAGTTTATTCTGCATAATAAACATTTTTCTCCATCACTCTCTAAAGCCTAGACAATCAACTGAACAATGAATCAAACCCTAATTTGTAGCATTTGCTGATTTCCGAGGTGTATCAGATGTTCATGCTGAAAATTTAACATGTGTTGAGTTCAAGCTAGCTCCAGCATGCCCCTAGACTAGAATAATTATGAGTTTTATCTTTTCAATCCTTCTTTTGACCTTTGTTATCCCCTTGTTTCCTTTTGAGTCGATGACTTCCTTTCCACATCCTGAAAATGACATAAAGACAACGTACACATGGTTACATTGACGGTATTTGACTTAGTAGGCAAAGAGGACCCATTAAGGATTTTTAACCAGGGGATTAACACCAAGCTGTGCTTTAGGAAGACTCATCTACTGACATTGTGCAAGGTGGATGGGAAGGGCAAAAGACCAGAAGCAGGGAGGTCATTTAGAAGACTACTACAGTAGTCCAGCTATGAAGGGATAAGGGTCTGACCAAGGATGGTGGCTTAGAAATGAAGAGCCAGAAACTTTTCTCCTACTTTTGGTTTCTACATCTTCAACTGCTCCTACCCTTCATCCTTCAATGACTTCTCTTCCTACAAAGCTATCTTTCTCACTTTTCTTCTCTACTTCCTTCTTTGGCCATCTTATCCAATGATCACCTCTATAAAGGTGACTTCCAGATTTCTTTTTTCCAGCCCTGACCTCTCTCTTGACCTCCAGAATCATATTTCTAACTTCCTGCTAGACATGGACCTAAACGTCATGCTAGCACTGTAAATGGCACATGTCCTCACTGCCCCCGCTCCTAAGAGTTAGAATCAATCAACATTTATTAAACTGGATGTGTAATTACATGCCAGGAACCATGCCAAGTACTGGGGATACAAAAAGAGACAAAAGGCAGTCCCTGCACGCAAGGAGTTTTTAATCAAAGTGGGAGACCACATGCAAAAAAAAAAAAAGCAGTAAAACTATATACAAGATAAATGGAAAATAATTACCAGAGAAAGTCACTACAATTAAGAGGCAATAGAAATAAAAAGATATTAGAAATAAGTCTTATTACTCTCTCCCTCTTAAAATTACTGTGTATTTACTTATTTGCATATGTGTTGTATCCTCTTAATTAGAATGTAAGTTTCTTGAGGGCAGGAATCATTTCTTCTTCCCATTTTTTTTTTTGGTCTTCATATCTCCAATACCCACTTCAGTGCCTAGCACATAACATTTATTATGTTACCTGAATTGAATTGAAGGAAATATACAAAAGCAGACATAATTCTCCCCCTTTCCCCCCAAAATATATTGTTCCTCTCCCTGACTTTACTAATTCTGTTAATAATTCCTTGTATTTCCAGTCACTCGGGCTAGAAATCTCAGCAGCTGCTTTGACTTCTCCTGTCCCTAACTTTTAGCCTCCTGTTGGTTAGCAAGTCTATGGGTTCTACTTCTGCAGTAACTCTTCTATCTATCCCCTCCAGTGCAGGCCACTATTAAATCTCACTTGGGCTATCAAATTAGTCACCTAGTCAATCAACCTGCCATCAGGCCCCACACCATTCCACTCTGTTCTATATTCTTTAGCCAGATAAATCACTCACTTTCCCCATTGCCTACTGAGTAGAGACCATTCTCCTTAGTCTGGCATTCAAGGTGCTCTACATCTGGCTCCAAACTACTTTATCTCATGATACTTTCCCTCTCTTAGTCTCTGTTCCCACCAGACTGTGTTCCTGGATGCTCTTTGGACATATTCTGAGCTTTCCTACCTCTATGTCATTGCTGGCATAGTTCTTTCCATCTGGAAAATGCTCTTCTGCAATTTAGCCTCCTGAGGTCCTGCCCATCTTTTAAGGGCCAGCTTAGATGTCTCCTCTTTCATGAAGCCTTTTCTGATACCCTAACCAAAAATAATCGCCCTTCTTTGATTCCTCATAGCATCGTGATAGTAGCACACATAAGAATTTACCAATTTTTTTGTATTATAACTTGAGGTTATGGCAGAGGCAGCTGTCTTATTTGATAATAATAATAATAATAACAATAACTATATATAATAATAATAACTAATATAGCACTTTGCAATTTACAAAGGGCTTTATACAAATTATCTTACTTGATCCTCAAAATAGCCCAAGGAGGTGTGCAGTCTGACATTAGTCCCATATTACAAATTAGGAAATGAGTTAAGACTGGGAGAAGTCAAAATGGTGGAACTAGTAAGTGATAGAACATGGGCTCAGATGATCTTCAGACTCTAAATCCAGCTCTCTTTCTACTGCATCCAGAAGAAGGAATGAAAAGTCATTCTGTGTACTTGTCTTTGTACATTTGTCCACTAACACTCTTCCTGGTGATGTTGGGAAGCTGTCATGTTCCTGCCATGTTAGAGCAGGAAAGAAGCCTCCCTACTTCCACATGCCCCACATTTTCTGAAAGTTGTTAGGCAAAGCTGAGAATATTTTAACTTACACGCACACACTCACACTCACACCCTCTTTAGCCAGGACAAATAGGATTCTAAACATATTTCTGTTATCATGAAAAAAAAATGCTATCGTTCTTCAGTTGTTTCAGTCACGTCCAACTCTTCGTGACCTCATTGGGGGTTTTCTGGGCAAAGATACTGGAGTGATTTGCCAATTTCTTCTCCAGCTCATTTTACAGATCAGGAAACTGAGCCACACGGGGTTAAGAGATTCCCAGCATCACATAGCTGGTATGGGTCTGATGCCAGATTTGAACCCAGGAACATGAGTCTTCCTGACTCTATCCACTGTACCACCTAGCTGCCAAAAAAAGAACACTAGACTAACAATAAAGGGATGGGGGCTTCAGTTCTGGACATGATTCTTCCATTGTGACTTTGGACAAGTCACTTCACCTTGATAGGTCTTGGGGTCCTCATCATAAAATAAGGGAAGTGGGAAGGGCTGAATGATATCCAGTGCTAAAATTCTATGATTCTCCTTGCAGGCATCTTTTCCATAAATCCTGCGTGGATCCGTGGCTGTTAGACCATCGAACCTGTCCCATGTGCAAGATGAACATCCTTAAGGCCCTAGGTATCCCGGTAAGCTGCTGCCCTTCCTGCACTCATCTCTTTTCTTTTCTATGAGCTCATGAACACAAAGGGGAAAAGAATCATAAGTCACTGCCTGGGAATTTCTTCTTTTTCTGAGTGCTCCATTTGCCACAGGAGTGACACCGTTTGAGTTAACCCCACACGAGCTCTGGTGTCTGGGGACATCTTTCCTCCCATTTGGTTCTCATCATGAGCACTTTCATCACTAGGGGTTTTCCCAGCCCCTGTTTCATTTTGGATCATTATTCCTCAGTGTCAAGATGCTATTTATGAATTACCATTCTCTTTTTCTTGTTAACAATGAGACAGATTGGTACAGTGGGAAGAATACTGAACCTAAAGTCTAGAACACCTGTGTTCAAATCCCACCTCTTACAGTTAGTTTCCGTGTGACCCTAAGCAAGTCACTTAACCTCTAGGAATATCAAGAAATGTCTCTACTAAGTCCTATTCTGGTTGTGTTTTGCATGAATGGTGAGGCTTCACAAAAAGTGAGAAAAGCATAGATCTGTATTCACATATGTAATACGTCTGTTGTGTTTCTATCACCTGTTCAACACCAAAGGGGAATTACGTGGCCTGCTTTTTTTTAATGTTACTTCATTCTCTGGGTCCAACCTGAATACTAGTCTTCAACCCACTTCAGAAGTTGGCACACAGCCTTCGTAACAACATGAGGGAGCACAGCAGTGATGGGAGAGAATGCCTCAGAGACTCTGTTTAGCTGTTAAAGAAAGATCTGTGTGTGGATTCTTCAATCTCCAGGATATTGGAGGCAGGGCCTGGTTTCCACTCAGCTGTCAGACTAACCCCCCTCAGTTCTAGATATCCATAAAAAGTTCAGTGTCTCCCCCAGTGAGGAGACTCCAGCCAGCTGGCTTCAAGCTGAGGAAAAAAGACTTTTCCAGGACCGTGTCAAGTTTAGCCCACAAACAATGGTGGCTAGTGAGCCACCAGCTGTTATATGTACGTTCTTCCTGAACAGATGAAGGCAGGCAGCAAGCCAAACTCCCAGATCCCAGGGTTATGCAAGAAAGAGGAGAGTTAAACAAAAGATGGTATTTGAAAAAAGCCAGACCATAATGAGGACGGGAGCCCCAGATAGCAATCCTTCCCTCCCTGCCCTGCCCCCTTTCTTCCTGCCTTACCCTCATCACCCTTCACTCCCAATGATGACAGTGAGATGAAAGGAGGATGAACCATCCCATGATGTTAATGGAAAAGGAAGTTTGATAAGAATCATCATTGAAAGGAAGAAATCAGGCTAACTCTTTGATTCTGTTGGAGCTTTCGCGACAGTAGAGCAGGAAGAGGGGGCGCCTTGAAGGGCAGTGATAGATTGCAATGACATGCATGTAGCCTGGCTTTTCTTCCCATGTCCCAGCTGCCTTCATGCCAGCTGTGTACTGTTTGAGATGGTTTATGCTCACAACACAAATCAGCTTGTGTGAATACAGGGCCGGACAGGCATTGGAGGAGCAGACCACTAAATCGTCAGTCTGTGGTCATAAATACAGTCTGCATGAGGAAAATCCATTATGAGTAGAAAAGATGGCTCAAAACCCCCCAGGTGTGTACCTTAGAAAAACACTCTTAGAACTCAATGTATCAAGAATTTCCTCTGCTTATACTTAGGCTATGTCTAGTTTCTGTACAAAAAATATTTATGTGTGTTTACATGAGATATGGAGGCAGGGAGGTGGTTCAGTTGATAGAGCGCTAGGCCTAGAGTCAAGAAGACCTGAGTTCATATCCGGCCTCAGACATTTAGTAGCTATGTGACCCTGAACTTCTCTTTGTCTTAATCCACTAGGAGAAGGGAATAGCAAAGCGCTCCAGTATCTTTGCCAAGAAAACCCCATGGACATTATGGTCCACAGGGTCACAAAAGGATGGACACAACTGAACAAAAACAACAACATGAGATGTAGGAGAGGTAGAATGTCATGGATCGAGGGTTGGTCTTGCGGTCAAGAAGACGTGGGTTCAGTGCCTGCCTGGGCAATTTCAGGAGATTGAGTCATAGATGAGTTGTTGGTCTGCATCTGAAGATGGGGTTTCCGCATTAGTCATTCCCTACAGCCACGAAATTACAAATCCAAAAGGCTCTAATATATGTGATTATATTTATATAGAGAAATAGGAAAGATTGAAGGGAGCTGGGCTGGGGGGGTGGTAATAAGCATTTATATAGTGCCTACTATGTATCAGACACTGTGCTAAGCACTTTTTACAAGGAATCATCGATTTGGAGCCAGCTGGGCCTTTTGAAACCTTTTAGTCCAACCCTTTCATTTTACGGATGAGGAAACTGAGACCCAGAGGAGTTAGGTGACTTGCCCAGGGTTACATTATTAGTAAATGTCAAAGGTGAGACATGAACCCAGATTTTCCCGAACTAAGAGTCCATAACTCTATCCACCATGCCAAGCTGCCTCTCAAGAGGGGTGAGGGAGGTGGAGGAGCAAGGGGATGGTGGGGAAGAAAGAGAAAGAGAATGAAAAAGGGGAGGGGAGAGAATAGAGGGGGACAGAGAAGCAATAGGAAGGGGAATGGAGACAGAATGAGAAAGGGGGAAAAGAGAGAAGGAGGGAGGGGGAGGGAGAGAAAGACAGAAACAGAAAGAGACAGAGAGAATGGGAAATGGGGAGGGAGGTGGGGGAGAAGGAGAGAGAGAGAGAGAGAGAGAGAGAGAGAGAGAGAGAGAGAGAGAGAGAGAGAGAGAGAGAGAGAGAGAGAGAGAGAGAGAGAGAGAGATGGAAGATATGAGAGATATTTGGCTCCAAAGTCTATGCAATACTTCAAAACTAAATGAAGACATTTGTTTGATTAGCATAGTAGTTTTCTTCAAGTATTTAAAAAGTCATCACATGGAAAAAGGACTACACTTGTTCTGCTTGGTTTGAGGTCAGGACTAGGAGCAGTAGCTGGGAAGTATAAAGAGACAAATTTCCACTTCATATCGTGAAAAATTTATTATTGAATAAGGTTGGTTTGGGAAGTAGTGGGTTCTCATTTAAACACTGGAGTTTACTCATCAGGTATACATGGAGGAGATTCTTGTTGAGGTGTGGCTCAGAGTTCCTTTCCAGATCGAAGATCCATTGGATGTGATCCATTGGAATGGTTTCTCTTGCCAGTAATTTATATTTGCAAAGCTTCCTGCATTATCTCTATCTACAAGTTGGGAAGAAGGTACCTAACAAACTTTGAAGTACCATAGAAATGGGAGTTATTTTCATTGCTACCATCATCAATCATAACAAAAATAGTTCTAGAACTCTCTCATCAGAATAGGACCAGAAACACCAAACAAAGTCTCTAATATTTAACTTCTTGGTCTAATTAGCATTTTTCTCTGCCCATCCTGTAGACTTCCAGAGACCTCTGTGAAGTATATGTGAAAATAACATGAGTGTGTTTATTCATTCTTTAAAATAGTTTCATTTGAGGTTATTTCTGAAACTTGCAAGTATGATGGCTAAAGGAGGCAAGGCTCAGACATCCTAACCCTGGTTCAGTGTATTTGACAAATTGGAGCTAAACTTTATTCAGAACTGTCTGAATAATGACCAAGTGCTATCATTCAAGAAAAGTGACACCAGAATTATACTGGAATAAGTGATATCTCTTACCTTTTCTAGAAAAACAGTTAACCAAAAAGTTCTATCAATATACACAACTGAAAACAGAACAGCCTCTGAAAAATGAAGCATCTCTAATTTCTGCTGCTTACAAACCATTCTGAGGAACGGCTGTGCTTTCCCAAAGCATCCATTTTGAGGTGTACTGAAAAATGATCTAGATTATTTCTGAATTTTCTCTAGGATTTGGAGGTATGAAATCATAAATGGTTCCAAAACAGAATTCATTACCTTCACTGCCCTTAAAAAAATTCACCCTTTCCCTCACTTCCCTCTCTCCTTCTTTTGAGGGCACGACCATCCTTGTAGTCACCCTTGCTGCGTTCACGCCCTTAGAACCAACCCTGCCTCCTCACCATAGACATCCAATCAGGTGCAAAGTGCATCAAATTCTACCTCCGTGATACCCTTTAAATTAATCCTTTTCTACCCCACTCATGTAATCATTTCCATAAATCAAGCCTTATCATCTCTTTCCTGGAATATTATGATAGTCTTCTACTTGCCTCAAATCTTTCCCCTCATCAACCCATCCTCTACACAGTTGCCAAATAAACATTCTTTTTTTTGGGGGGGGTTGTTTTTTTTTAATAGACATACAACTTAGTTCCATGCTTTGAACTGACAGTTTGGTTACACGTATTTTGGATGATTAGAGCACAAGGCAGATTTATTCCACAGCAAGAGTGTGACAGGCCACATGCAGGTTTTAAAATTTGAAATGTATCTATTTCAACTATTTTAGCTTATAAAACTTCCAACCCTCATCCAAATATCAGTATTAAAGCAGAAGTTCCATTTACTTTTTAACCAATCAGTGGTCAGACCAAAATAAATCAGTCTAGACTACCTATATATAGCTGAAGGTAGCAGTTTTTTCCACAATAACAACATAATTTTATACAAAAACCCAAGCTGCAAATAAAAATTGGTCCTATCAAATAAACATTCTTAAAGCCTTCTTTTTGTCATGTTACTCCTGTCCTGAAATATCCCCAGTGGCTCCCTTTTGCCTCTATGATTAAAAAACAAACTTCTCCGTCATTTAAAGCCTTTAACAATTGAACTCCAGCCTACTTACCTTTTAGTTGGACAGCTAAGTAGTTCAGTGGATAGAGTGCCAGGCCTGGAGTCAGGAAGACTCCTCTTCCTGAGTTAGAATCTAGCCTCAACACACTTACTAGCTGTGTGACCCTGGGTAAGTCACTTCACCCTGTTTGCCTCAGTTTTCTCATGTCTGTAAAATGAGCCAGAGAAGGAAATGGCAAACCATTCCAGTATTTTTGCAAAACAAAACAAAACCCAAATGGGGTCAGGAAGAGTTGGACACAACTGAAATGATTG